CAATACTTTGAGTTTCTGCTGAAAGCTCTACTGATTTTTTGCTGTTGTTTTTAAATTTGCTGTGAACTCAGCACCTTCCACCTATGAAAGTCCACCTATTTCCATAGAATATCACATCCCACCCTCAGTGAATAATTGCAAGAATTCAATACCCCCAATCTAAAAAATCATCAAAATCAACTGATTGAACAATTGTTTCTATGCAGTGGAAACAAATATATGTTCAATATATAGCCCGCATTCAGGTAGGGTCATGTGAGGGAGACAATTTCTGCTACAGATTCTTCTGTCTCAGCTACAATACCAGTTCTTTGCATTTTCCCCAATGTTCTTTCATCATTCAAATTCTGGTTATTCTCTTGTTCAGATTGCTTCATCTTCTTAAATTCGCATTTTCTTCAAAATTCACTTTGAACCACCCCATGTAAAAAAATCCTGAATCACTTTAGAGACAATTGATGCTAGTCATTCATACAATGTTGATACAAACAATCAAAAGTCACATACTTCAGAAAAAATGCTTTTAAGGTAAGTGGAGTAATGTGAATATTAAAAAGATCCAAACTATGATTTATGTTTGTATCACTTAAATTATCTCTAAGTATTTCCTGACTCAGGATAAACTACCCAATAGAGACCCTAAAACCGCATTACAGTTGCAACAGCTCTAACTACTCATTGTGTTTTGTTGAAATTACCTTTTTAAATGCTCTCAACAGATTCATTTCTCCTAGCTCCCAGTTAACAAATCTGCAATGACTAGCACTGAAGCTGGATTATAAATACTTCGTAAGCCACAATTAACTTTGTGACCACAATTAAATGCTCTCTTGGGCTGCGTTGACTAGATTCCCCTGCACTCTACAGAAAGACATTGACAACCGTTACACACTTGAGGAACTCGTGTGAAAAAACTTACCTTTCTCACAGTTTCCTTAACTGAGGAGAAAAAGACATGTCTATTGTGTACAGGTTAGGAATTCCACCAAATGTTTTTCGTTTTTAAGATCCATTTATTGTTATTAAAAAGGCAGATGTAAGAAAAAGAGAAACAAACATCTTTCATCCACTGGCTCACTTCCCAAATGGCCACAATGGCCTAAGCTGAGCTGTGCTGATCTGGAGCCAGGAGCCAGGACCTTCTTCAGGTCTCCCACGCAGGTGCAGGACTCCAAGGCTAGGCTTTGGGTCTTTCTCTATTGCCTTCCTAGAGCACAAGCAAAAAGTTGGATGAGAAATTGGAGCAATGGGGTAACACACTCACATCCATATGGGATCCTGGCAGTTGTAAGGCAAAGATTTAGCCGTTAGGCCATCTCACTGGGTCCCCATCAATTAATTTAAAGACATAGCTGTAGTTGTACACATTTTCATTATTCCACAAGTCCGTGTGTCATTTCCAGTTGTCTCTTTCCTTTTCCTTCTTTCATGTCTGTCTAAAACTAGAACAGAGTCCCACTGTTCTATGTGAACAAAATGCAGCCCATACACGCTGGACACTTAACGTAGTGAACATGTTGAATGTTCTTGAGTAATCCAGGATCCACTTAGTTGGTCATAGAGTGTGCTTATTTTACTCATGAGAAAATCTTACAATAGATAAAACAAACATTAGCCTCAGATTGCCAGGCAAGTAGAAGGTTATTCCTCAAGGTCAGAAAAATGACGGATTTTGGAGTGTGAGTCTTAAAACAGACAGGGGCTTGTTCGAATCATGAAGTGCAGTATTTCTGGATACAGACTGGCGTTACAATCTAACCCCAGGGCAGGTTTGTCTTTCATTTATTCTTAAAGTTTCTTTATGTAATATAACACTTTAAAGATATGAAAAATACAAATATATCATAAAATATATCTGGCACAACAAAGCTCCCAAAGAACTAATTTGGAAAAACAGTAAGTATTGTCATGTCTGTGCGTTCATTTCCCACATCTACAAGGAAATCCACTTTAATGCATTATTGTATTTGCATTGTTTCTCCTAGATGCCTCCTCTGATCATGCAACAACTAATGGACAAGAGAAATCAAATTATTTTTGCTGATGACATTCTTGACTTAGAGGAATCAAAAGACTCAAAGAGGCTATTGTAACTCATAAAACAGTTTGACAAGGTGGCAGGGTACAAACTCAATGAACACAAATCAATGGCCCTAGTACACACACACACACACACACACACACACACACACACACCAGTGTGAGTTAGAATAGCACCCTTTTAAAATAGCGGAGAACCTTAAGTACCTTGGAATAAGCATGATCAAACATCTGGAAAACTTTGATGAGGAAAACTACAAAACCTTTTTTTAAAAAGAGTATTCCTCTCCTTCTCACAAAAGAAAATCTTCCATGGAATCCCATGTGCACTTCTGTCTGCACAGACATGGTAGAGATCCTGCATTTTGGCCTCTGACTCAGAAACACTCGCAACTGCCTTTTCAAGCCATGAGCACCACTGACTCTCACGTACTGTCTTTCCTCCAAAATAAAATAGTCAAATATACCTTTCACTTCTGTGTTATTTCAAAATTACAAACTTATATAAATGTATGTATGTATATATATATATAGACATATATATATAATACTTTTCAATGTTCATGGACAGAAAATTGATTATAGAGGCTTATTTTGAAATACAAAGTTAAACACACATATTTTAAATGTACATTACATATAAATTTTGATATCAAAATGCGTGGATTTCAAAATGTCTGAAGAAAATAATTTTATTTAATTCTACATTCTGGAAGATTTTAAATTCCTTCAATTACAAGTATGTTATTCTTATAGCAGGATACAAGCATTACGGAAGCATATATGTGTTCTCAACTGTTTCTCCTTGAATATTAAATTCTTGAAGGAAAATACATTACACAAGGAATTCACTCTCTTTTTGAAATAATACAAATATTTAAAACAATTTCTGGGCCAATAGTACATTGCATCAATAAGAAGTATAATTGGTAAATAAGTATTCACTTCTCTAGTTCATATTATTAGTCAAAACTGCGATTAATGGTGATATGTGTTTTACCTAAACATTTAATAAACATATTGAAACTTGAGTGACCAATGTAAACCCATGTAAGTTATGACCTCAAACTGAGACAATGCTGGCTAATTAGAGATAACACAAAATAAGAGAATATGCCAAAGCTATAAGGACCTGTTCTGAAACAGCCGCTGTGATTACCTGAAAATTATCCTGCTGGAATAACTCATGAAACACCTTTGTTTATGTTTAGATGGCTGTCACCTTTCAATTTTATTAATTTGGAAGGATTTACTCTGCATTATGTTTCACTGAATAAAAATAGATTTTCTTCTTTGATTTCCATTTTAAAGATGATAAGAGAGAAAACAATATCATCAGTAAACATCATAGTCATAAATATGAAGGTATTTATAAGCTTCCATTGTAAATTTTAATGCCCTAAGGAATAATAATCGCATTTATTAGTTACTTCATATGCAAATTCAAGTTATCATTCACTTATACATGATATCAATAAATTTCATTCTCAGTTGTATAGGGGAAACTAGTAAGAAAACATGAGATGGACACAAGCTGATGGATTTGACAAGTTGTTTAGTTAAATATCAGACTAGCATTTAAAACATGGTTAATGACTCCTGAGTCTTCGCTCATTTTTTCTTTTCACAAGTGCTTCTAGAAGTGACCTTTTGAAAACAGATACAAAACAGATCATGTTATGTTCTGATTTCCTGAGAAATTTTATATGGATTCATTTTTAGGACATAGTGAACCATCAAGAAAAGTACTTTTAGACCTTGTGGTTAAAAAGAACATGTGTGTACTAGGTATCATGGCGCTAAGCTTAAGCGAAGGTGTTCTGGAGTCATGATATAAAACGGATGTGGGAATAACACGAGTTTCGGTCTCTGAAATACAGTATTTATTGCATTGTCTCCTAAAACTCAACGTTACCGAGGTAATCTAGTCGATCATATACAATAGCTACCATGTTGTTTGTTCTTCTTCACAGAAATATTATTTATTTGCATCCAGTGATGGCATAAAGCCATTTTCACAAGTCTTTTTCTTTAATAAGTCTCAGCAACAACTCCTCACAATGACTATCAACAATGTGTTCTCTTCATACCGTGCGCTTCCAAGTTTTTCTCACATCTCATGCTTTCTTTGTCACAAGGAAAATCCATCCAAAATAATTAAAATCACCATAAATTTATTTCCAAATGATTGTGGAGCTAGACCTTCTCAGGAGAATGCCAGAGTGCCTCACCCAGTACGATGATTGAATATCACAAACTGATGGGCACAGGTTCCTCTCAGCAGCAGCCTTGGGACCACTGATCTAAACAATTTATTAGAAGAAAAAATCCTCACATTTCCTCATTCCTGTCTTTCCACACTCTGATTATATATGATGAAGCAAAGCATAAAGAGCCACCAATGTTTTAGCCCTTCCTCCCTGCCCATACAGGGGCTAATGGGATCCAGGCTTTCTAGAGGTTTTATATCAGCACTTCATTTTCTTTTAGTATCTGAGAACCTTTTAATTACATATTTCAGACTTTCATTATAAATTATCTCATGGAATATCTCATTAGGAAATATTAAAGCTCATCATATTTTAAAAATTTTTCTGCTGGTCATTCTTACTCTTCTCTAAGTGTATAAAATGCTGAAAAGTTAATCTAATCTTCAAGTCAATCTCGATTGAAACTACATAAGGAAACTCAACATCAGTATCATAATGAGTTATTCTTTATGATACAGCTATCATTTTTTAGTCTAGAGCAGTGTGTGTGTGTGTGTGTGTATGTGTGTGTGTGTGTGTGTGTGTGTCTGTGCCCATCTGATGTCAATACTACTGGTGAAACTGTCATTTACATATAATTTTCCAGCCCATTGTTTCTGACATTTCTGGGTGAACATTTTGTCTTTAATTGTTAAAGTGGTGACAAATCCACTTTACTACAGCACGGAGTTGTTTACCATATGGTTAATACTAATCAATTATTCTTTCTTCAGAAAACTGTTGTTGACAAAACACTTTCCTGATGGCTTTTTTCATCTCTGTATTTCTCAGGGTATAGATTAAAGGATTGAACATAGGGGCAATAATAGTGTAAAAGAGTGAAAAAATCTTGTCTTCAGGGTAAGTGGTAGGCGGTCTAAGGTAGGCAAAGATTGACGGTCCAAAAAATAAGACAACCACAGTGACATGTGAGCCACACGTAGAGAGGGCTTTGCGTCTTCCTTCGGCAGAGAGATTTCTTAAAGTGACTAATATAACGACATAAGATCCAAACAGGAGAACAAAGGTTACCAAGGCAATTAGTCCTGAATTAGCCACTGTAAGAACACCAGTGAGGTGGGTATCAGTGCAGGCAACCTTCAGCAGAGGAAAAATATCACAATAGTAGTGATCAATTTCACTAGGGCCACAGAAAGGCAACGTGATGATCATCACAAACTGGGAAAAGGAATGAACAGCCCCACCAGCCCAAGCCACCAGGATGAGCAGATGGCATCTAGTTCTGTTCATGAGGAGCATGTAGTGGAGAGGTTTGCAGATGGCGACACTGCGATCAAAAGCCATAATCGTCAGGATGAAGACTTCGATCATTCCAAAGAAGTGCATGGTAAACACCTGTAACATACAGTGACCATAGGAGATGACTTTGCTCCTCACTAGGAGATCACCAATCAGCTTGGGTGTCACACAGGAGGTATAGCAGATGTCCATAGATGATAAATGACTGAGGAAATAGTACATGGGTTGGTTAAAAAGAGAACTGCATCGGATAGAGACGAGGATTAGGAGATTTCCTCCCAAGATAGCCAGATAGCAGAATAAGAAGAACATGGAGCAAAATATTTGTATGTTCACGTCGGAGGAAAGGCCTGTGAGAATGAATTGAGAGAGATTCTTTTGGCTTTCCATGTATCGTAGGCTTTGTGAAAATGATTGTATATCTAGGAAAATAAATCTGAATAAAAACATTTATAAAGATCACAATCATGTAATTAATATCATAAAATCATGGAATTATAAGATAAGTATCACAGAAACTGATTCGTGATTGAATGCTATTTGTATTTGTTTCTGAAAATCATGGCAGATTTGTCTAATGGGTTTTTAACTTTTTCCAAGCTTTCTGTCATTTTTGACAATACCAAGCTCATGTTGTTTTTCTTAATCTTGTGTACAACCCGATTTAAACTGTGATTTGCCTAGAATAAAAAAAAAAAAGCTTATACTATTGTAATTTATAACATTAGAAGCAATAGGCTTAATTTAATACAAGAAAATAATTTTGTTTTTTATTTTCTAATTGTGTTCTTTAGCATAGACTTTACATTTTAGGTAGCATTCCTCTCCTTTGAATGATATGGAATACATCCCTGAATTTTTTAAATACATAATTAAAGAATACTTTTATATTTTTTTAAAGAACGAAATTGTGAGCTATATGATAGATGGGTAACATTCCTTGAAATACAGAACTGTAACTGCAATTTTTATGAAAAAGAGTTTCAGAAGGAGACAGAGGGAGAGTGAGAGAAGCAGAAAGGGAGAGAAAAGGAGAGTAAGAAAAAGAATGTTCCATCTGCTGATTTACTAATAGGCCATGATGTCCAGGAATGAGCCAAGCTGACGTCAGGAGTCAAGGAGTCCCCCACGTCTCACGTGTGGGTTGCATGGACTCAACGACTTGGACCAGCTAAAGATGCCCTTTCCAGGAACATCAGCAAAGAGTTGAATAGGAAGTGGAACAGCAAGGAATATGTCAGTGGCCCAAGATGAATGCAGTAATTGAAACATGCTTTTTAATGTGCTGTGCCACAGCTTCATCCCCAGGAATGTGAGCATGCAATTGAGGAAAGGTTCGAGCTGCTTATAGTACAAGGCAGCAAATACATGAGAATATATTAAAGATAGGATTTCAAGTAACATCAGGCATTTTAAAAAATGTAATTTTCAGTGAAAATTGCTTCTTAAACACAAAATTCAAATTATAAACATAAGTGATACAGAAACAAAGCCAAGCAATATGCAGCAGTAATATGAATTCCGCACCAGTTGCATGTTCTGTTATAACGGGTTACAGCTATTCGTGCTATCTTACAATATAACACAAACATTGTGATCAAGTACTGCTTCGCTGTTTCTGACAGTGTAAATTATTTGGGAATTTGCAATATTAATTTCTATATTATCATGATATAAATTGTACAAAGACAATGGCATGATCCACTACAGACAGAACATGTACCTCTAAGTTCTAGTCTCCCATTGGTGAAGCATCAAGTAGCATCTGACTGAGCTTTTCACCTTAGATTAATTGTAGTAGGCATACCTTAGCAACGGACACAATGCTTAAACAACATGGTACTTTTTTCCCAATGATATGGATAGAGAAATAAATTACTGTTTTTCAAATCATGTTATTTCACTGGTGATATTTCGTTTCAGATAGTAAGGACATTTAACCCTAGTTCATATCTTATAAAAAACTGAGAAGTTCCATTTTCAATTTTAGTGTTAAATGTTTGACATTAAGAAGCGAGACTATCAAGATCAGCCTATCCTGTTAGTATTTCCTTTAGCCATTGTCGTTGGCCTTTTCATTACAAATTCAAGAGCTTGTGTTCTATAAAGTGTGTATAAGTAATAATACCACAATGAAATAAATAGTTTTCACTTTGAAAAGTCACAAGTAAAGTGTAAATAATGCCTTCTTAGAAAAATAATTTCTGCATGTATGGCCTTCTAAAAATGCAAATGAAAAATAAAGGAAGCTTGAAAAAAAGAAGTTTTAAAAAATAAGCTAATTTGTTTATTAAAATGATACTGAAGAAGATGTTCTTCCAACCCAACCATGCTCTTTTCAGTAGACAAGAAATCAAATATGAGAAACTGAGGAGAATTTTCCGATCTTAGAATAAACTGAAGAGCTGAAAACAGCAGATTAAACAGGCTAAGCGTTCAGCCCAGCAGTTAAAGCACTGGCTTCCTCCCTCATCTAGATACATGGCTTCAACTTCAAGTCTGACACCTGATTTCAGCCTCCCACTAATGCAGACCCTAACAGAGAGACAGAATGGTGATGGCTCATGCGATTAAATTCCCGCTCCAGCTTCTGCCCCAATGCAGTTCCTCTCTCTCTCTTTCTTTTCCTCTCTTCCCTCTTCTCACCCTCCCCCTCCCTCCTGTTTCAGGCCCAAATCCTCCTGCCTCCTCCCCTTCAATTAAAGAATAGAATAACTAATTCATATTTAGCTGTATCCAATAAGAAAAGTAATCCCTAGCAGTGAAGTAAAAGGAGGAACTTCCACAGTTCTACCACTGAGATCATTATAAAATACATGACTTTGTTTTAAAAAACAAATTTTGCTGGACCTGGTGTTGACTTTGAAATCATTACACAAAATCAGGTTTTACTATGATAATCACGGATATTCGTACCCCAACCTATCATCTTATGGAAGCAATATAGTGCAACTGTAGGAGAAACTAGAAGAATATTATGTGAATAACTTCATTCAAGAGGAATTATATTCCAACAGCAAAGGGAATGACATTTTCTTAAAGCCATTAAGCCATTACACATGTAAATGAAGAGCACATTTTTAAATAAATGTATAAAGGGTTGCACGGGAAGACTGGGACATGAATTAAAAGTAATGGGGCAAGTACAAGAAGTGAAACACAAATCCTTTTTATGCAAGCATTTTGCATATGTGAGCTAACTTCAGATGCAGACCAAGAAAATATCAATTACCTATGCTTTTCCAGCACTCAAATATCAGATACTGAGTGAACAAAATGTGAACTGAAATTGGCTACAGCTTTGAGTTAGTGTTATCTTTAATTTCTGTCCACAAAGTATGCTTTTACTGATACAAGACATTGAACATCTTTGAGTTTCACCTTTGAGTAAATTCAAATAAATGACCATTAATGGAAATAATGAAGAGTAGCTTATATGTAGCCTTCTGGGGAAATCTGAGGCACATAGCGAGGCATCATCAACCTCTTGCTTATCTTGCTTCCGGTAAGAGGAGTAAACTTCAGTAAAATTTTCCTGCAACATGTATAGAATCCACCAAATATTTGCACATAAAATTAAAACTATGATATAGATTTCCGTGGCCAAACCAAAAATAAATAAATAAATGAATAAAATTGACAGGCAGGTATCATTGTCTTATCTGAGGAACTCCATAACACTTCATTCAGTTTCTCTATTTCCATTCTCTGAACATTTTTATTTTATTGTTTTATGGTAGTTCAGTATCCCTGTCCAACCTTTTCCAAAAACTGTCAGCACTGTAAACTGCTCTTCCTTTAGTTTGACTAGTACCTATGTCTATTAAATATAATCATTTAAATTTTTGGCATCAGCATGAGACTTACCATAAACTACTTTATCCAATACAAAGACTGTAGACAATTTTAGGAGAATGGTCCTTTGCAATGTGGTAATATGTGCAAATATTTGAGGCCGGAAGATCATTAAAATTTTTAACACATGGTTATCTTTAAGTGTATGCAAAAATTCAAATTAATAGATTATTCAATTACATATGTAAAAACACAATTTTACTTATTCATATTATTGTAAACCACGTAAAAATGCTCATCACTGAAACTAAATCAAGAAACGACAAATAAAAGTAATGATACAAAATAAGCATGATTACCTGCACAATTTCTATAGATGGTCTTGAAGTTCATTTTGTGCTGGTCAGAAAAATTATTTTGATCATACATTTATTCCCCTCACTTATGCAGTAACCTATTATCTACATACATAAAAAGCAAGAACACAAAACAGTAACCATTATCTAGGTCATTATTCTGAATGTATCTTCGGGGTTGCTTTTTTCATTTCTAAGTGAGGAAAAAAATCATTGCTTTACAAGCAAAATGAAAACTGAAGTTCACACTGTGCTATCAGTTCACTGCATAGGACATGGTCTAGGAGTTACTGATGCAACTTCCTAAGTCCTGCTCACACTGAAAAGCAAACGAGGATACCTGAAATGACTGCTGAAGCAGCATGGATCTCTGTACCTCGATAGTCATCCCTTTTATGCCTACACTTACATAATGCAAGAACTAAACATAAAATCAGAGGAGATTATAAGATTATTTTGAACATTTAAGAATTGCTTCCCTTGAAAGCTTTTTATGCAATAACACTGCTATCTTGTCTAAGATTTCCTTAGTTGTCTTGGGAATTTTCAAGTTTTGGCTACAAAGTCACTCCCTGGGCACTGTGTCTCTAGAGATAGGTACTGTTGTTCAGATTCACAGAAACTCAGGACGATGCTGCCAGGTCCAGTGGATTTTTCTTCCAAAGAACTTGGTCAGCTTTACAGGAACTCTGGGTTTTCTTTGGAGGATGTTTCTGTCTATAAAGACAAAAGAGAAAAGAAAGTTAAAGATGGAGAAACGTAGATGATCCCATCACACATTCGATATAAATTCACGGGAATTATTTAATCTGTTATCTTACCCTACTGTTCCCCAGAGCAGTAGCCACATCCAAAGACCAAGAACTGCACTTTCAGCACTGGAATTGTGGCTCTGAGACACATGACAAAGGAGAGGAGGAACTACACAAACTAAGTTCAAAACAGATGTTCCAACAGGATCAGTGGATTGGGACAAGGGTCACATTTTGAGTGAAAAAAAAAAAGGAGTTATTCAGAAAGTAAAGCAATTTTACATCAGCAAAACCAGTGCTGGAAAGTAGACAAAGAAATTCAACTTCACTGAAATTCAGTCATGGTTCTTTCAACCCAACTATTAAATGTGTACATCATAGGTAGTCAAATAAGACCACAGAAAGCAGTGTTTGTATAGCATCTTATCTAAATCAAAATCAAAATCAAATCAAAGTACTTAGTAAAATAACCATTACAATAGTTTTG